TTTTTTTTTTTTTTTTTTTTCTCTATCATAAAACTTTTAAAATGTTTCGAAAATACATTTTTTAACTTTCGAGATGGTTTAGAATACCGTTTAATTTTCAAAATTTTTTGAAAAATTAAAAATATCTATGGAACTACCAGTATAAAACGCACATAAACTTTTAGAAGTAACAATAAAAAATTTAGAGATGATCTATGAGATATAGACAAACGGTTTATGTTTGTAATTTTTAAACATGATATTATGTAATTTTTTATTTTTAAAAAAATAAGTTGAATCATATTAATTAGAGTTATTTTTAAAATTTTAAAGATATATTTTTTTTTAGAGAAGTACAAAATTTAACAGTTTTTTTTTTTTACTAAAATACCATTTTAGTCCCTATAATAAATATTAAAATTAATCTCAATAATTAGTTTTACAACGCATATGTAGATCATGTTTTATTCGTGATGGGTATTAAATTTTATGTTAAGAAAAATAAAAATAAGAAAAAACAAAATATAAGAAATGATTTTGGTACACTTATTTTAAAAAAAAAAAAGTAACTCACAAAATAGCCCATTTTCAAAAACAACGAATTGTTTGTTTCTTTTTTTAAATAAATTATACACTTCACAAAACATGTTTTTCGCTAAACAACAAATTTAATTATTTATGGCTTTTTCTTTTTTCTTTTTTTCTTTTTTTTTTTTAATTTTTTGTTATTGTGGAAAAAATTTCTTTTACGATAAAGATCATGTATAGAGATGTCTATTTAGCCTGTATGATCCAGATGAGAAATCCCGATTTCAACGACTAATTGAGAGAGAGAGAGAGAGTGAGAAGAAATTATTATTTTAAATTTCGTCGAATTTAAAAAAGGTTCATAACCCAACCAAAATCGTACGGGTTGAATTATGATGATTGGATATTTCGAGTCATTGAAAATCAATACGGTACGACTTGAGCTGTGATGTCCCATATTGATTGGGGAGGAGAACAAAACATCATTTATAAGAGTGTGGAAATTTTCCACTAGCAGACGCGTTTTAAAGCCTTGAGGGAAAGCCCGAAAGGGAAAGCCTAAAGAGGACAATATTTGCTAGGGTCGTTACAAATGGTATCAGAGTAAGACACCGGACACTGCCCTAAAGGGGGTGGATTTGGAAGGGGTCCCACATCGATTGGAGAAAGAAACAAGTGCTAGCGAGAACGCTGGGCCCCGAAGGGGGGGTGAATTATAATGTCTCAAATTGGTCGGTAGAAAAGAACAAAACACCATTTATAAGCGTGTGGAAACCTTCCACTAGCAGACCGCGTTTTGAAGCCACCTTGAGGGGAAAGTCTAAGAGGGAAAGCCTAAAGAGGACAATATCTACTAATGGTGTATCTGGGTCGTTATATGAACTGGGTTGATTGGATATTTCGAGTCATTGAATATTTTTAAACACTTCTGATGAATGTAATTTTGTGACTCGTTAAAATTGACTCTAAATATAATATTAACGATGATTTCTTAAAACTATATTTTTTAAAAATATTTTTTATTTTTATTAATTTTATTTAACATTACATCACCAATAATACAAAATATATGTGTTAAATTCGAGAAATTAACTTGGAAGTAATGACTAGATTTGAAAGGGAACTACATTTATATTTATTTATCAACTATAATGTAATTATTGACCTTAATATAATATTAATGTTTTATTTTTTAAGCAATATTTTTTTATCAACATGTTTTAAAATATTATATATATATTATTTAACACTACATAACAAATAAGACAAAATTAATGGGTTAAATCGGAGAAATTATTTAAAGAAATGAGTATATTTGAAAGGAACTTTTTTATTATTATGATTATTTTACATCTATTTATGCAAATATTTAAAAAGGAGTTTTGTGTTGGGAGTGATCTACGTAATAGATATTTGAATTATTGTGTTTGTTTTGTCGTATCATAAGAGGTAACAGACCGCCACCAAATCCACCTCCCTTCTAGGCCTAACGTCCTTACTGGTACATTGCCTTGTGTCTACCTCCTTCGGGGAACAGCGAAAAGGTTGACATTATCGTCTGATGTCTGGCTCTAATATTATTTGTAATGGCTCAAATCCATCGCTGGCAGATATTGTCTTTTTTGGGCTTTCCCTCAAGGCTTTAAGGGGAAGGTTTTCACACCGGTGTTTTATTCTCCTTCCCAACCAATATGAGACATCACATAGGTTATATAGATACCTCGAGATGCCCGAGCATCTTAAAATGCCCATATGGTAGAATGACGGGCGCTCAAACCTTTCTAAATGATTAATACTAAATATCCATTAATAATCTTTTTCTCCACAAAAATATTCGTTATACTATGGTGCGTCCAATCTAAGTGTGACAACTTTACTTTTGAACCTAATTATTTTTATTCTTCTTTGTAACAACCATATAAAAATATAATAAAATAATAATAATAATAATAATAATAAACCAACACAGAATTTTCTCGTATACATTGTTCTCACTCGAATGCTGCTTAGAAGAATTTTTACGACATCACTCAACATATGATTACTTCAAACCAAACACGCTTAAATTTGGAGTTCCTATGATTGAGTTATCGAAAAAATATCGTGTACTTTGTTGATATATATAGCTAAATATCAATTCTTTTAAGTATTTCTAAACTATCATATCGTCAAAATTACAGACCTTTTTTTTTTTTTTTAACTTGAGCAAATCCATAGTTCAAATTGTTGGACTTTCAATCCTACTTATGTTTCTCATTCTTAACATGGTATTAGAATCCGACCTTAAACTTAGTCATTTCAATAGAATCTTCAAATATCGAACAAAAGTATTGTGAGTCTCAAAGGCATAGTAAAAAATGACTAAGACTCCAAAAGAAAAAAGAGTCGAGTCTCGATTAAGGGGAGGTGTTGGATGAAGGTCCCACATTGGCTAATTTAGAAAATGATCATGGGTTTATATTCCAGGAATACTATCTTCATTGGTGTGAGACTTTTTGGGGAAGCACAAAGCTAAGCCATAAAAATTTATGGTCAAAGTGAACAATATCATACCATTGTAACGAGTCATATTCATCAGACACAAATATGCTAACGATTTTTATACGAATGTCGCCTAATTCTCCAAAATTTATTTTAAAACACAATTCCAAAAAATATTAAATGAATTGACAAGTACCAAAATGATTTGATAAAGGGTAGAATAGTAATTATGAAATAAATAAATATAAGTTGGTTAATAAGAACTTTTTTTTTTCTTTCTTTCTAAGATGGTTTATTATTCTTTCCCAAAGTATATTTCATAAGTTTTGGATAAAAACTCTTATTATTAATTTTTACATTCAAGGGTAATTTAGTCATTTTCTACTCATAGGATTTACTTATAATTGAGGATTGATAAATTCAAAAAACCGCTAGAGTTATAGATATCATATTAAACCAGAAGTAAATGAACTCACGGGTCATATCTGAGTGAGACATTGTATTATGTTTAGGTAGCGTTTGGACAGAAATGCTCAACTGTGGCAAAAGGGTGCACACAGGTTGGATTGGGTTGTCCGGATGTTCTTTTTTTTTTTAAATCTTATTTATCCACGATACATGTTACATTAATAACTAAAATCTCAAATACCCGACATTTACAAGTCACAGTGCATCATTAACATCGATTACAAACGTCAAATATTCTTCATTTTCGTAATAATCTTAAATGTCACCGTGGGGTTGTAACCCTATTTTTCTGTTGATTGTGTTAATCTTACAAAAAAAAAATGTCAACCCGCGAACCGACTCAAATTTTTCAATCTTAAAAAAATTTAACTCAACCCCAATCTTAGGTTTGGTTGGGTACTCGGGTCATGCTTTGGAAGATTCGATTCTTATAGCAATCATTGTTTCAAAATCCTACTCTTCAATGTCTGAATTCACGTTATGGGACGTCAGTTATTTGAAGAGATCAAGTTAAGTACTTTGTACTGATCGTTACTTTATAGCAATCATTGTTTCGAAATCCAACATACATATTGTTAGTTTATTTAATCTTGTATTAACCGTAATTAATCTAATTTACTGTTTGTATTTCAATGTATGTCAGTTAAGGGTAGTTAGTAGCGGTTAAAGTTGGTTACTAGCGGTTAAGGGTGGTTACTAACGGTTAAGGTGGCTATTCTGTCTATATATGTATTCTATAACCAGTTGAATAATAGGATGTTGGTTTATTGCCTCTCTTAGTTGTATGAGTGTTTTCTAACATTTGGTATCAGAGCCAGGTTACATGCCAAAGATCATGCCGAGAAATAATAACAACACTGGAGAGAGAGGAGAGTCGTCGAAGTTTGCAACAAAGGAAAGTCTGGTAACACTCCAATACCCGACGTTATCGAGAACCAACTACTCAGCATGGGCTATGAAGATGAAGGTCTATTTGCGTGCTCAAGGGGTGTGGGACGCAATCGAATCAACTGAGTCTCTGGATAGCCTTGATGAAAGGAAGGATCAAATGGCATTAGCAGCCATCTATCAAGCAATCCCTGAAGAGATGTTGTTTTTGTTAGCAGAGAAAGAGACAGCAAAGGAAGCATGGCAGACACTAAAAACTATTCATCTCGGTGCTGAACGTGTAAAGGAGGCAAAGATCCAAACTCTGAAGATTGAGTTTGAAATTATGAATATGAAGGAGTCCGAGACTATTGATGATTATGCAGCAAGGTTGACAGAAGTTGTTAATAAAATAC